GGGTGAGGGGCTGAGGGCCGTTTTCAGGCTGGCGGATGACTGAAGCTCCCAACCACTCCTTTTTTTCTTTTTTTCTTTTTTTTCTATTCTGGGCCAGCTTTAGCTCTGAGGCCTCGCTGCTGAAAGCAGGTTTCTGGTCTTTACCTTCTGTATTTGATAGAATGTTGCAGTCCGGCTGGCTGAACCCGGCTGACTGAAAGCCGGTTTCTGGGGTTTTGTTTAGCTTCTATATTTGCAACATAGTTGCTTAGAGTTGCAGCTGAGAGGCCGGCAAGTCAGGCGGGGAACGTTGGAGTTCGCCATCACTGGAGCAAGCAAGCCTCCCTGTTCGCTTCAGTGCATGGCTGCCGGCCGCCATCTTGGCTGACAGTTAATTTGCATAAGGATATGCTGATTAGCCAATGGGAAGGGTAGCGGTCGTACGCTAATTACCATGTTTCTCTTTTATTAGTGTAGATTATTAATTATTGTATTATGTTCAATGCAAACAAACAACTGTAAACCTACTTTTGCCCCACCCTTATGTTAGCTTTTACTGTTACTACTGCTTAATTATTTTCGAAGTCTCAAGAAGAACAGACTAGAAAGGAATAGAGTTTATTCTATACTTATGTTTTAATGAGCATTTCTACATCTCATGTAATGACTATATGACATTTATATTAGATTTAAGCAAATAATGGGGGTACACTTCCTGGTCAGTTAAGACAGGAGGAGCAGACAGGTGGGACCTTGAGTCAGGAGTGAAAGTCTGAGAAGGTGAGGGAGCACCTCCGCTTCACCTGTGCACTGTCTGGTTTCAGTTAAGTGTTTGTATTGCTGGGATGGTTTCCCCATCAACATTGGGGCATTTGTTGAAGGCAGTTATCATAATCCTGCATATCTTTCCCTGGCCTTGTCTGGCTGCTTCTGAACAAAACCTCTTTTAGAAATGCCTGCCTGCTCTGGCTGTTCTGGAATCCCACGTTTCCAGTGTCGACACTGCTCTTGTCCTTTATTATTTTTATTAGAGGCCCGGTGCATGAAATTCGTTCATGGGGGGGTGGTGGGGGCGGGTGTCCCTTTCCAATCTGGGATATCCCTCTCACAATCCGGGACTGCTGGCTCCCAACCGCTCACCTGCCTGACTGCCTGACTGCCCCTAACCGCTTCTGCCTGCCAGCCTGATCACCCCCTAACCACTCCCCTGCCAGCCTGATCGGTGCCTAACTGCTCCCCTGCCGGCCTGGTCAACCCCAACTGCCCTCCCCTGCAGGCCTGGTCCCACCCAACTGCCCTCCTCTGCAGGCCCAGGTGCCCCCAACTGCCTTCCCCTGCAGGCCTGGTCACTTCCAACTGCCCTCCCTTGCCAGCCATCTTGTGATGACATGGGCACGGCCATCTTGCAACCACATGGGGGCCGCCATCTTGTGCGAGGGCTTGGTGGTCAATTTGCATATTACCTCTTTATTATATAGGATTGGATGACTCATCTTCTTGTTTGGACAAAAGCTTCTTGGGACCACGCACTGAGCATAGTGCCTTACACATACCTAATTTGAACATTATTATTTCTGTCCTTTTAAGGATAGAATCACGAGTACTTGTGTGAGTTTGAGTGAGTGTATGTGTGTATGTAAAATACTCTGTGTGTATAAAATGAAGAGTTAGCTTGGGGATATCAGGATATTCATTTTCAGAAGAAATGCACTGTGGGATAGTCACCCTAAGAGGGAAATTGACAACAGGCTCTATTTTTCTTAAGTAGTTTGGAATGAGAGCATGGTAGGATGGGAAGAGCTCAGGTGGATAGAACTGTGCCAGATGCCATCTCTACCACTTAATAGCTGTATGGCTCTAGGCAACTCACCACTGGGAGCCTCCATTAACACTGTAGGAAAATCTACCTTGCGGACTGTTATTTCCAATCATGTCCTTACATAATTTGGGCCTCGAATATAGTAAACTCTCAGGTAATGACAGTTATATAACAGGTTTCTGACATTTAAAAAAATCTTTAGGCAGTAGGAAAGCTTACATGGATAGTTTGCGTTGTTTTGATCTGTGTATTATGATCAAATCCTTTGGTTGCCTGTAGGATAAATCCACTAAAATCTAACACATGAGCCCAGCACTCAGGGATCCTGTCCCGTTTTGTCTTTTGCTATTAAAGCTTCCTCCTGTCGTAAAGTTGTACAAACTTCAAGTCACATCCACCATCTCAGCGCCTCTGCCCCAGTGCACCTAGCTTGCAGTGACCTCCTGCCTCTGAATTCCTAGAGCCCCCCTTCCTTTGCCACCTGTTGTATTCACCTGCATTATTTAGTTTTATAGTCATAGATTTCCTCTAAGCCAAAATAGGACCACTCTTAATTCTTATTGTGAAATATAGTGTATATACCAAAGAATATTTAAAAATGTAGTTTTCTAAAATACTCATCATCCAAGTTTATGGGACACAACCAGTACCTTAGAAGCTCCTTTTGGCCCCTTTCCCATCACAGCTTCCCTCTCTGCCAGAGAACCAATATCATGAAATTTTTATTGATTACAGTCTTCTGTTCTTTTAATAGTACTTTTTGTTCTGCCCTTATATAAGTGGATTCATATATATTCCTATTTGAATTTGTATGTTTCTTTTTTCAGCATATTTAAAAATTTCATTTTCACTGCTGAATTGTATTCAATGATATAAATATACCTGAAGTTGTCCTTTAAAAAAAAAAAAAGGATATGAAGGATCAGATCATATAACTTGGACTTTATTACACAGGACAGGCACAGAGAGCCATTTGTTTTAAAGTGAAGGGGTGATACTTGCTTTTGAAATTACATGAGGGAAAGTATCCATGGCTAATTTTTTTGCCAGAGAGAGAAATGGAAATGCAGGTATATGAGCCTCCCCCTCACTGTCCTCCCCTTTCAACCAACTGAGAATGTGGGTCTGTTTCTAGAAAAAAATGATAGAAGCCTAAAAAGTTAAAAGAGCAGTTATAAAGTGGGAATACTTAATGAACTGATATTTAATAAATATTTTTAATGAAAAAAAATAGAATGGGTAAATAAGCATAAAATCTCAGTGACATTCAGCATTAAGCATGTATTTCTTGCTCATGTGTTGTTGGGTAGGCCCGGACAGCTCTGGTCACCTAAGCTGAGTTTTGAGCCAGGCCACAGGCTTGATCCATGTTTGCTCCAAGCGTCTCAGTTCGGAACCTGCAGGCTGCCCAGGCCACATTCTCTGCTGCAGAAGTGGCAGCTTCTTAGAGAGGGTGAACAAAAACAGTTCACTGCTCCCCACATTCAGTTGTCCAAAGCAAATCCTCTGAGCATGCCCAACATTAGTGAGGCAGGGACATGTACTCCTCACAGAGGCTGGGAAACGGAGTGAACACGCTCAGCAATCATCTCATGGAACTTATGGTCATCCAGTTGTTTCCAGTTCACACCTACTTCACAGTGCTGCTGCTCTGAACATTTTGATTATGTCTCCTGTCACACATCTGCGAGAGTTTCTTTAGGGTACATGCCCAGAAGCTGAGCATTTTCAACTTGAGTAGCTAATATCACATGGTTTTCTAAGCAGCTGTACCTTTGCTATGCACAGTGAATTGTGTTTGGGTTGTTGCACTGAACCACTGATACTTTAGAATTTTGTGTATATTTAACATACAGTTTAATAATTTAAAAAGCATGCCTAAGTATTTTCCAGGGAACTCAATTTCCTTTCCAGCCACTACTGTAGGATGGAAGCTGCACTATTAGTCTGCAGAACAAAGTGCTACTTATCTTTTTGTTAGCGCTCAGAATCCACTAACCATTTCAACTTGTGTTCACTTGGCAGGTTTGGTGCAAATGCCAAAGTTGTGCATTTCCTGGGACGAATCAAACCGTGGAATTACACCTATGATCCTAAAACAAAAAGTGTCAAAAGTGAGTCCCATGATCCCACCATGACTCACCCTGAGTTCCTCAGCCTGTGGTGGGACATCTTCACCACCAGTGTTTCACCTCTGCTGCAGCAGTTTGGCCTCATCTCAGACACCCACCCACACCTCAATGTGGTAGGTTCTGTTTCTCCTTTAAGGTAATTTAATGCTGTGGTTTTTATTTTATTATTTATTTATTTATTTTTAATATATTTTTATTGATTTCAGAGAGTTAGGGAGAGGGGGAGAGAGATAGAAACATCAGTGATGAGAGAGAATCATTAATCGGCTGCCTCCTGCACACCCCCCACTGGGGATTGAGCCCACAACCTGGGCATGTGCCCTAACCGGGAATCAACCGTGACCTTCTGGTTCATAAGTCAAAGCTCAACCACTGAACCACACTGGCTGGGCAATGCTGTATTTTTTAAGTTTTGTATACCAGTAGACATGGAGTATTTGGTGGTATGTTAACAAAGAGATAAGATTGTGTGGATAGAAAACAATGTTCATCTTAGAAGAGAGAAATGTTACCAGCAAAGATTAACGCAGAAGTAGAGTTTCTGGCAAATATCCTCAGATCAGAGAACATAAGAAAGGGTTTTAGAGGTTTTACTATATTTCCACATATTGTAACTATAAGCCTCTTGGCCCAACTGTCCTATGATTATTCCTAAAGCAGTGAATGCTACGTTTCATGTTTTCGAAACTGCATACATTTAAACATACTGATTTTATTTTTGCCATCTGCTCAGAAGAATGTATTTTCAGTGAAAATTACAGCATGAACATATAAACAAATACTTTTCCAGGATTATTTTGATATACCGTGTTTGTACTCCTATATGGTTATCTAGGATCTTGTAAAAGAAATCTTGTAAGAGGAAATTACATATTAACATTTACAATAAAAAAGTGCTTAGTATCTTTTCTGACTTTAAAGTTCTTCCTCTAAGATTTGTTCTTTTGGAGGAATTGGGAAAGGATAAGAAATTAAATTTTTGGGAGGTAGTTGTGGGTAAAGTGGGGATAAATGGTGATGGATAGAGACTTGACTTGAGGTGGTGAACACACAGTACAAATGATGTATTATAGAATTGTACACCTGAAACCTATATAATTTTATTAACCAGTGTCACCCCAATAAATTCAATAAATTAAAAATAAATAAAACCTGTATGTTACATATTAAGCTATAAAGAATAGAACTATGGGTAAGTTACAATCAAGTCTAACTGATCAGTTAATTGCCTTTCTATAAGAGACTATAAGGTTATAAGAGATACTTCTCTTTGCTCTGGTATAGATTTTAGCCATTTCACTTATTAGCACTTGTAACAAAATATGAAAAGGAGAATGGGAAAAATCACTCACCGCTTACATTCTTACTCTAATTGCTTTGTATGGATCATGAAGTAACACTTGCACAGTACTTGGAACATTGCCTGGCACATAATAAGTGCTCAAGAAAAGTTAGGTATTTTTATTTAACAGTTAAACTTGTCTATCAAGTAAGTATTATTATTGTTAATATCTCTCTCTAGATATTAAAATTAACAGAAATGTAAAAAAGTTACATAACTGCTCTTATTTGTGTAACAGACTAGTCAGTAGGAGAACTGGGACTCAAATCCAGGTCTGAGAGACTGTTATCCTTATGAAAAATACGGTGAGCAGAGGACTCTGGAAGAGCCTCCCTAAATCATTCCTGTTGCAAATGGAAGGCAAAGGCAGAACTAATCCAAGGGAAGGACTTATATTGCCTCAGGTGTAATACAATCCCATGGAATCCACCCAAGTACCTTGGAGTTCCAGTGTATTTAAATGCATTCATATGCATTCACACATGCATGTAGATATAGCAACAAAAACAAGTCATCAGAAATTTTATTCTTCCAGTTTCTGTTAAAAGCAATACCTACATGTATTCATCCGCCTTCCTTTTTCTCTTCCAAGATTTCCAGTACCTTCTCAACTCAGAGCTTTGTGAAGGATAGCTTTGATATTCCTTTATGGTACAATTGGAGTTAATTGTGTGTCTATATGTAATAAGAATCTAATATAGAGTAGGTTTGCTCCATTTCCTGCACATTCATTTTGTTCCTTCCGCAACCCAAGGACTAAGAATTATGAACCAAGAAACAAAAGCTGGGAATTGAAACAGTAGTTTGAAACTAAGTTAATTACATGTACAGAAGCTACAAGATTAGATGCTACATGGTAATAAGCTTGAATAGGCAGATGAGTTTGGTGCATGGTCTCAAACCATTTAGCTCTCGCTTTTATGATGTGACAACTTGTGTATGTGGTGCGGCTCTCTGGTTAGGTTCTTTCTGAAGCTTAGCCTCTAACGTATCATTTTGTTTAAGTTCTCAACCTTTCTGAGCTCACAGATCGAGACTTATGTATCATGAGACTGTGTTCCCTTGTCCATCATCTTACACTTTCTAATGAACTGTTTGCAGCTTTCAGACTTGGTCTGTACACTACACTGGCTTTCTCTTGTGGCTTCTCTAGAAAGGTATGCAGAACTTAAACATTAACCTTAATTACTTTGTTCTCTTAATGTTTTCACTGAGTCAAGAAGTCTTCATTTTGTTAGGGAAAAAATCATATGACCCTTGTATTTCTGTGTCCTTTTTTGTTTGTTTCATGTAATACTTTCCAGTTTTTGCTACTTTGCATGATAATTCATCCTGGCTTTTCTCACCTTCTTCAGTTTATTGCATTCTCTGAAACTGTCTGATTTTCAGCTCTCAAGGAGTCTCTGATTATGCTCTCCTTTCTAGGAAGATGTCTCCGGAGCTGTGTCACATTTGTCCCTTGGGGAGACCCCGGCTACGGCACAGCCTTTTGTATCCTCAGAAGAACGGAAGGAGAGGTGGGAACAGGGCCAGGCTGATTACATGGGAGCAGATTCCTTTGACAACATCAAGAGGAAACTTGACACTTACCTCCAATAGAAACACTGCCACTTTTCCATGGACACATCCACTTCACAGGCACTTTTTTCTCATACTTATTATCTAGAGCTGAGTCTGTTACAGTTGCTAGAGGCTTTCACTAAAATTCATCAGATAAGGGGTTTTTGTAGGACAAGTGATAACTGAGCAGAAGTTATGAAGTAGCAATTGTTATATGGACAATGGCCTGTTTTTTAAACTGGGGCTTATTCAGCTGATGTTTCAGAAATTCTGTTACGCTGATTGCCAACATATGTGGTAAGGGAAACTGAAACTATTAAGATGGCTATATCAGCTTTTAAAATGGGCTGATCCAGGGGCCAGATCAGTCTCCCTTCAGAGTGGGACATGGTATCAGTCTCTGGCTTGCTGTTGCACCTTCGTAGACATGCATTTCAGAATTGTTCAGAGCTGCCCGAGTGATTACAGTTCTGCTTTCAGGTGAAGACAGCCTGTAACACTGCTGAGTGATGCATAAGCCTGTCAACAAATGGCATCAACCCATTTTCTTCCCTCACTTTAGTGTCTGAAGATGCCCCAGTTTTCCATGTACAGTGAGGCAGCATGCTAAATGCTTCTATTCAGTTCTGTATATCTGAAAACAACAGTGGCACCTTATATGAAAAATAAAGACTTATTGCCATATCTTATTGTCTAGTTTAATTAAGGATTCCTACCCCTTGCAAAAAAATATATTGGGGAATTTTTCATTATTTGTAGAATGTCAGTGTGTGTTTTTTTTGTTTTGTTTTTTGTTGTTGTTTTTTGAATGTCAGTGTTTTTAAAACCAGTGTAAAACTTGGTACTAGAATACACATATATATATAAACCAGTGTAAAACTTGGTACCAGAATATATATAAAATTGGTTTCCAGATAGCAAAATATAATTAAATCTAGAGTTCTCCAGTGATGGGATGGATCTGATAGATGAAAGTGAGATCAAGCTCATCTAATCTGTGACCCACATTGCATCTTCATAGGAAATGAGTATTCAGATTTAGAGTGCTGTGACCTTAAAATCATCATGGGTTCATTGTCAGTCTCTGAACATACCCAATTATCTTCTAGGACTGTTAGAATCAATACTGGACCCCAGTGTCTTCTGGTGTTTTTATCCACGGCTTAAAATGATAGAAATTTTAAGACTATTAAGTGTACAAATGATTCTAGGTTGAAAGGATGGCAAGCTAGGGAAGGATAGGATGCAAAATGACCTTTTAAAACTAAAATGAGTATTCAGAAATCATTCTATTGAAGAAAACAGGGGAACACCATTCACAAGAAGAAACTTGAGGTTTAATTGGGCAGAAACTTTCAGTGGTTTTTATGACCTAAACTTCAAGGTCACCCTTCTTTATTTCCACAATATCCCACTGGTTACACAGGTTAGCCCTATTAAATATGGGTATAGATCAGAGGTTCTCAACCTGTGGGTCGCGACCCCTTTGGCGGTCGAACGACCCTTTCACAGGGGTCGCCTAAGACCATCCTGCATATCAGATATTTACATTACGATGCATAACAGTAGCAACATTACAGTTATGAAGTAGCAATGAAAATAATTTTATGGTTGGGTCACAACATGAGGGAATTGTATTTAAAGGGCCAGAAGGTTGAGAACCACTGGTGTAGATGAATACACAGGGGTCTGGAATTCTATAGGCAAGAATGACTGGAGACCACCTTGGAGGCTGTCTACCACAAGAGCTCAAGAAGAACATGTGGAGTTACCCAAAATTGTAAAATATTAAATTATTCCTGATGAAGGAAAAATAAGCAACAATTATTTGGACTGGTGGAGAATTGAGTTGCTAAATACATAAAGCACTGTCAGGTGCTGTGCTCCGAAGTCTCTCAAGATACTCCAAGTCGAAGGATCTCTGCATCAGGGGGTATGAGCTAAACTCTTCCAATGAGAATCCAAAGCATAGAGAAACATGGCTAAACGGAAATTAATTTCTTTACAGTGTAACTTGCAAGTCATACAAATGAGCCTTTATTTCTGGACAGTATGTATAATTTCAAAGCTCTGTGTTGCTTTCACAATCCCAATGATCAAAGATAATTGTCTGCTTTCAAGAAAATACCTGGGCATATTCCAGAAATAACATCTGCTAAGTATTTATCTAGTACCTACCATATCACACATGTGACAGGCATTAGAAATATAGGACTGACAAGATATAGTTCCTTATAGTCTAGTAGGGAACAGACCAAAACAGAAACTAGCAAATATAATTACAAGTTGTGCTAAAGTACACTGACAATATTGACAGGCAAGATCCAACCTTAGGGTGGTCAAGAAAGATTCTATAAGATACTGATTAAGCCAGAAAGAGAGGTGCTGAGGTAACCCGAGAGAAGGGAAGAATATCCCCTTAAAAGGGAAATGTGTGAGGAAAGACCTGGAGCAGGCAAGAACTTGATGGAAGGAAAGGATACCAAGACAGGATGGAGAGGTAGGAAGTGGCTTCATAGGCCAAGGTGTGGGCTTTGGATTTTATTCTAAATTCAATAGCAATTGATTCAAGTTTCATTCATGTAATTTATATCTAATTTTTTGTATTAAAGAGAAATTAGAGATGCACACAAAAGTAAGCAGAAGAGTTTAAATAACGCCTATCACCCAGCTTCAACAATTGTTTAATCTATATCCCCACCAACTCTTTCACTCCCCCCCCCCCGCCACACACACACACCAGACTATTTGAAGGCAAATCCCATATAAGAAATTTCATATGAAATATTTCCATATATATATTTAAGATGTAAGAATTTTCTTTTTTAATATATTTTTATTGATTTCAGATAGGAAGGGAGAGGGAGAGGGAGAGAGAGAAACATCATTGACCGGCTGCCTCATGCACGCCCCCCACCGGGGATCGAGACCACAACCAGGCACGTGCCCTTGACCGGAATCAAACCTGGGACACTTCAGTCCACAGGCCTGCGCTCTATCCACTGAGCCAAACCAGCCATGGCAAGATGTAAGAACTTTTGAAGATAACACCAAAAAAACAAAAAACGATTATTTCCAAATGTCTCCATTATTGTTTTATTTCCACTTTGTTCTTACTAGGATCCAAGTAAGGCCCATACAGTATAATTGGTTGATACCTCTCTGGTAGAATCTTTTATTTCTGTACCCTCCCTTTTTGTTCATTTTTGTCTCCCTTGCAATTTTAGAAACCACATTCAGCTCCAGTCTACCCGACTTCACGCTCAGCTGATTGCAGTTTGACATGTTTCCCTGTATTCTATTGACAGTACTTTAGAGTGGTGTTAGCTACTTCCAAATCACTGGTTACCTTCATATATTAACTGCTATTGGTGATCATTACCTAGATATATTATTTCATTAGGGATTTCAAAATGGTGATACTCTTATTAGCTGAAGTATTTCTGTGTACTTCCATTCATCAATAATATGGTATCCTGAGTTTAGATTTATATATATACTAGAGGCCCGGTGCACAAAAATTTGTGCACTCAGGGGGGAGAGGGGGTCCCTCAGCCCGTCCTGTGCCCTCTCACAGTCTGGGACCCCTCGGGAGATAATGACCTGCTGGCTTAGGCCTGCTCCCAGGTGGCAGAGGGCACGCCCAATCCCTAGGTGCAGCACCTGGTCGGGCTCAGAGCAGGGCCGATTGGGGAGTTGGGGCGCTGCCCCCTGTCATGCACAAAGCAGGGCGGATCAGGAGGTTGCGATGCCACCCCTAGTCACACTCAGGGTACGGCCGATTGGGGGGTTGGGGCGCCACCACTGTCACACTCAAGGCAGGGTCGATAGGGAAGTTGCGGCGCCACCCCATGTCACTCACAGAGTAGGGCCAATAGGGGAGTTGGGGCACCGCCCCCTGTCACACACAGAGCAGGGCCGATCAGGGGGTTGAGGAGCTCCCCCCTGTCACGCACAGAGCAGGGCCCATCAGGGGGTTGAGGAGCTCCCCCCTGTCACTCAGAGTAGGGCCGATAGGGGGAGTTGGGGCACCGCCCCGTCACACACAGAGCAGGGCGGATCAGGGGGTTGGGGCGCCGCCCTCTATCACCCACAGAGCAGGGCTGATCAGGGGGTTGGGGCGCCGCCACTGTCACACTCAGGGCAGGGCCGATGGGGAGGTTATGGCTCTACCCCGTCACACACAGAGCAGGGCCCGTGGTGGGGGGGTGGGGTGCCGCCCTCTATCACCCACAGAGCAGGGCCGATCAGGGGGTTAGGACGCTGCACCCTGTCACACACAGAGCAGGGCGATCAGGGGGTTGGGGAGCTCCCCCCTACCAGGCACAGAGCAGGGCTGATCAGGGGGTTGGGGCGCTGCCCCCTGTCATGCTGATCCCGGTGCCGGGAGGCCTCGCTGCTCCACTGATCCCAGTGCCGGGAGGCATATTACCCTTTTACTATATAGGATAGAGGCCTGGTGCACGGGTGGGGGCCGGCTGGTTTGCCCTGAAGGGTGTCCTGGATCAGGGTGGGGGTCCCCACTGGGGTGCCTGGCCAGTCTGGGTGAGGGGCTGAGGGCCGTTTTCAGGCTGGCGGGTGACTGAAGTTCCCAACCGCTCCTTTTTTTCTTTTTTCTTTTATTCTGGGCCAGCTTTAGCTCTGAGGCTCGGCTCCATTCTGAGGCCTCGGCTGCTGAAAGCAGGTTTCTGGCCTTTGTTTACCTTCTGTATTTGAAACAGTGTTGCGGTCCTGCTGGCTGAAGCCTGGCTGACTAAAGCAGGTTTCTGGGGTTTGGTTTAGCTTCTATATTTGTTACAATGTTTCTTAGAGTTGCAGCTCAGAGGCCGGCAAGGCAGGCAGGGAAGCTTGGCTTCCTCCATCACTGAAGCAAGCAAGCCTCCCTGTTCGCGTCAGCTGCCTGGCTGCCAGCCGCTATCTTGGTTGGCAGTTAATTTGCATATCTCCCTGATTAGCCAATGGGAAGGGTAGCGGAGGTACGGCTAATTACCAGGTTTCTCTTTTATTAGATAGGACTAGTGGCCCGGTGCACGAGATTTGTGCACGGGGGCGGGGGATTCCCCTCAGCCCAGCCTGCACCCTCTCCAACTGGGGACCCCTTGGGGGATGTCCGCCCACAGGGATCGGGCCTAAACGGGCGGTCGGACATCCCTCTCCCAATCTGGGTCCATTGGCTCCTAACCACTTACCTGCCTGCCTGCCTGCCTGATCACCCCTAACTGCCCTTCCCTCCTGGCCTCATCTTGCCCCCAACTGCCCTCCCCTGCCGGCCTGATCTCACTCCCAACTGCCTCTGCCTTGGCCCCCACCACCATGGCTTTGTCCGGAAGGAAGTCGGATGTCCGGAAGATGGCCGGTTGACCTGGTCTAATTAGCATATTACCCTTTTATTAGTATAGATAGATTATATAGGATAGGATTGCTTAAATGGAGGAAAAGCTTTTTCAACAGGAGGAGATGCTCTTGGCAGACAAAAATACATAATCCCTATATCTGGACTGATAGCCAGCCATGTGCACTATACTGCCAAACCGGTCATTAAAAAATTGAACTGCTTTCTTACACCTTACACCAAACAGCTGTTGCCCTTAAAACCCCTCCTCCGACCCCACCTTAGGTTCTGCCTTCGCAGTTTAGGTTATTTGTCTTCTATAATTGAAACTTTGTTGCCATGAGCGGAGGCCACAGC